ATATAGATATAATAAGAGAGAATTGTGTGAAGCGTAATTACCAAGAAAAAGAAAACAAGTAAGATCAATTATTTAACAACTGTTGAAATTATGTTTTATTTTTCAAAAATTTTTTTTATAGTTGTGTTTTGCTTATAACCGGTTCTCTTAATCCAATACATCGTTCACATATAAAAACTCTTCAACTTGTTCGAGAGTATCTTGAACGTCATAAATCGAAACCATTGAATGTTCTTGCTGCATATTTATCACCTACACAGTATGTTTTTTTTAATGTTAACTTCAAATATATACAACATGTCCTAAAAGTCCTTTTCTAAAAGCTTTTCCATTTATCTTTACTATTTGATATCACTTTATCAACTATATTTTTTAAATGATAGATGGATGCACTGAGTTTTTATTAATACAAAGATTCTTCAAACCTATCATTTCTAACTAAAATATAAAAATTTCGGTCTTTTTTTTATATGTTAAAAGATATTATGTCATGATTATTCTTTTAATTGCTTCATCTTCTTAAATGTTATTTCACATAGTCACTCTCGCCAGTGATTCATAAATATAGTTGTCATATTGAGATTTAAAATGATCCGTATACTCTTCGCAATTCTAATGCACTTAGCAAAATTTACTATGTGATATGTGGTGTCAAGACGACTGAATGTTGAGTCATTTTGTTGTTCATACAACGATTGGTCAACAAAATAAGTTTGATATCTTTCAAAACTTCTTTTATGTGATTTTATAGAAAAAAAGAATTGCTAATTGATTTTCCCACAACATAGAGTATCAAAATATTGTTCCAAAACACTTCACTACTTTGTGCCCAATAAGTTTGACGTCCTGAAAGTTAAAAGAAATACATCGATTTTATGAGCTTTACGATCACCAGACTTGATACCATTGAATTTCATTTCATGGAAATAAATTAAAACAGATGTCTATAAAATGGCAATTAAAGATCCAAAAAATTTAAAGATTAAAATGATTCGAGAAATAGAAGTAATTTAAAAGAACCCACTGTTGTCTAGTGTTTTTTCTACATACTCAAAGAATCTAAATTTTTGCATTTCCATTCAAGGTGATAGCTTTGAAAGGGTACTTCTAAAGTTTGCTTGTGTGATTAAAAACTCGTTGTATGAACCTGTCATTAAAAAATAAATGTAGTTTATAAAGTTGTACCGAATAGTAAAGATATACTGAAAAACTTGTAACATAATCTGTATATATATAGTGGGTATCCAACAGATTGCACTCGGGTTATTTTCAATTTTTTTCTCTGTTATTTAAGTGCTAAAAGGAGTTTAAATAGTAATACAGACCGAAGAAACCTTTTTTAATAAGAAAATAAAAACTACTGTCAGATTTACAACGATAGGGCCTCCAGAAAGCAAAAACTCTAGTTTTTCATTACATAGAACGCATAAATATAACTGTTGCTTTTAGATTACATAAAATAATAGAATAAATAATTCTCTACAAAATGAGGCGCTTCTGAGTGCTTCACGATGTTTTTTAGTTGAGATACAATAGTTTCGTAGAACTTCTTAGAATGACACTTTATTTATAATATTAAAAAGACTGTACAAAATTCGTAGACATTTAATTTTGTATAGAATCGTTTGCTCTGTCATTTCATGATGTCCAAATAATATTATATTTACGCACTCTAGGTGCTGAAAAACTTAGGGTTTTGGTTTTGTGGAAATACTGTCTTAGAAAATCTGACAATAATTTTATTTTCTTTCTGGAAAGAATTTTCTCTATTGAAATTAATATTTGAATTCTTTGCCATAGAAAAAAACTAAAAATAAACTCTGTTGAATAATTTTGGTGTCAATCGTACAATATTAAATGTTCATTTTTTTGAAAAAAGTGATTCGTATGTTCGCAATAAACTGGGTCAGTTCGATTGGATTTCAGCTGAAGACCGTTGTAAACTGTGTGAAGAAGTTATTCTATCGGATGAAGATACAAAATCTTGGATTTCTGTAAGTAAAGGTGAATCCGAATTCAATGAATTCGTTGATTTTGATGATGTTAGCAAAAATCTTGCTGAATTTCTCAATTTTGAACTATGTGAATCTGAAAAATTGCTCAATCATCCATTAAAAGTCGTTTATGTATGTGGTTTGGATCATTTTAATAAATGTCCTTATGTTGAAAAATTGGCAACAGAAAAAAATATAGCTTGTGCTGTTACGTATCGTCTTGGTGCTTCTGATCATCGGATAAAAGCTTTAGAAGAGAAGTCTCCGAATATATATTATATTACATTGGATGAAGAACGCGAGAAACTTGTTGATATTAGTTCAACAGCGATTCGACAACAATGTTATAATTCAGCTAAGACAGATCTTATTCAATTAACTTATCCATGTGTTATTAAATTTTTAGAAGATAAATATAGTAAAAAATAATTGTTCCTTTTTTTTTTAAAATGTTTAGATACAGAAATTTTTTTTATTAAAAGATCAAGATATTTCTGTTGATCATAGAAGAAAATTTACTTAAAAAAAACTATTTATTTGACTTTATTGAGTTAAGTATTTACAAAAAGAAAACTAATGTTTTGATGTTGGATTAGGTAATTTTAAAACAAAATGTTTCATTTTATATCAGTCATCTTTGTTTTTGAATATTGCCGATAGCGCGTTGAATTTTCTCAATATCTTCTGTTTCATTTTCAAATTGTTTTCGTACTGCTAATGCTTGTTCTAATAAATCAATTGCTAATTCATTTTCTCCATGAATCGTATGTATAAGAGCAAGATTGAATGCATAATCAGCCCAATCAAGATTATTATTCGATATAGAGTTCATTGCACGTTTATAATATTCTTGAGCATCATTAAGTTTACTTTGGTTTTGTAATGATAGTGCAATTTGAGCATAATTTCTTGCTATTTCTATTTCTGAATTTGTTGATGAATCAACTGTACAAGAACTTAAACTTGATTGAACTAACTCGTCATTATCAACCGAGTGTTTACGTTTTTTAACAATACGCCGTATTTGACAACGATTCGAAGCCTTATGTCTTACAAGTATTCGTTCAATTGAATCATCTAATGTCCTATCAAATGGTTTTCGTTGCTCACGATTATATTGTAAAATATCAAGCACACTTGGTCGTGTATTATCTCCACCATTTATATCAGCATTACATCGATCAAGTAATTTAATGACGAGATTTTCATTTCGACGAGCAACAGCATAATGTAAACATGTGTCACCAAAATTATCCTAAAAGAAAAATTAAATTTAATAGAAAACAAAAATAAGAAAACTATTTAATGAAAAAGAAAAACATACTTGTACATTGACATCGTTAATATTAAGTTCAAGTAAATAATCAAGACATTTGATCGATTCATGATGACAAGCAAGCATAAATACTGTTAAACCTTGTTTTTCTCGTATTGATAAAGCTTTTAAACAATGTTCATATAAAGCATTTGTTTGTTCTTCTGAAAAGATTTTTATTTGATGATGAATACGCATTGTTAAAGCTTTAAGCATTTCAACATCATCTCGTTCTACTGCATAATGTGCAGCTGTATATCCATCAATATCTTGACAACATGGATCACATTCAAACATCAATAATAAACGAATCCATTGATATGGATAACTACGCACAGTTAAAATATGTAAAACAGTCTAAAAATAATTAAATCAATACATGCAAATAATAAAAGATAATATATATATATATTTACTTGTTCATATTCATTTTTTATTTGAATTATATCTTTATGATAGACATCAAGAGATCGACGAAATGCATCAAATTTTCCATGAAGTAGATAAGAAAAGATTTCTGACGGAGAATTTGTTGGTGAACAATATAAAATCGAACCACAAATACTTTTATGATAAAGGTCATAAGTTGTTGTTGACGTTGATTGCAATAAATTAGAAGGATCTGCTGATTGAAAATGTGAAGAATCGATTTCATCAGACATAATACAATTTATAATATAACTATAGAAAACAAAAAGAATTACTTGTTTTTCATAGATATACATATATGAAAAAAATATGTTTGCTAGCTAGACTTAACTTTATCATAGGCTGTTTAAATGTTAAAAGGAAGAGCTAAGCATACTATATGAAGAATCTGATCCTTGTCTAATACAATCGATAATTTTTGCTTGTCAGCTAGATGTAATGTCACAAAAAATGAAACAATATAAAGTAAATATTTTATTTTTATATCAATGTCGAAAAAAAACGGAAGTGATCTATAAAAGTGTTCTTTTTGTCTGTTCGCTGGGCCATTACCTCAAACGACGCATTATAAAAATAGAAAAAAAAAATATCATTCAGACTTACATACAAATATATGGATATAGATTTTAATTTTATTGTTTGACTGAAGAAAAATAACAAAAACAATGTTTTACTATATCATACCATAAAACAGTAGTAATTTTTCAATAGTCTTCAACTTCCTTTTTTTTTGTGTAAATTTTGACGAGTCTGTTTTGTTTTTCTTTTTTCGTTTTTTTTTAAGTAAATACAATGTTTTTCTTAACAGCACTTAAATTGTGACCTAAAACGGAAGAACAATAACTGGGCTTCTGCATACACATCAATAAATGACTATGCATTTTTTATTATGTGAAAACTTGTCATAAATATTTCCTTTTATCCCTCATGACGGAAGAATGAGAAATATAAATGACGGAAAAAGCTGATACTTTCGAAAAGTGTTGAATAAGACGAATAAAAATGCAACCAAAATAAAAAAAAAATAACTAAATGCGCAATTAGATAAAAATATCTATGTAAAATGTGATTATTCATGGAAATGTGACACGTTAAATCAGTGAATGTGACATGAATCATCAGTATTCTGATTTCCTTTTAGTCTATCAAATACGTTTTTATTGCACACTTAAAAACTATATAAAATAGGTATTAGTCTCAAGTATGAGACAAATCAAGTACATCTTCATTAGCAATCTTTCTATGTCTTTTTATTGATTGATTTATTGTATGAATCGTTCGTTTTTATGTATTGATTGTTTAAATGATGATGATTGATTAGAAGGTATAAAAGAAAGATCAAGTGGTTGTAAATTATTATTTGCGTGTCGTAATAATTCTAAATCTTCTTCAATTATTTTTCTATTTATACGTGTATTTGGTCGATTTAATGATAATGTAAGAGAATAACGTTTTTTCGATGAATAAGATTTTCGACGTTGAACAAAACCTTTTTTATTCATATTTTGAATAATTTGTTTTGTTGATATTTGAGTTTGAGTTGTAATAGTTGATTTATCAATTAAATTTATTAATGAATTACTATCACGTTCATCATCGTCATCAATTGTTGGTTTCTCTTAATTGAAAAAAGAATTATTAAAACAAAATAAAATATTTTCAAATAATTTTTTACTATATTCAATTGATTTAGTTCGTTTAAGACTTGAATTATTTTGTTGTTCTATTGGATTTAAATACATATGATCGATACTTGGACATGGTGTAATAATAGTTGATCTGAACAAACAAAACATTTTATTTTGATTATTGGGTTTTTTTTTCGTTTTAATTAAATATTACTTACTCTTTATTTAATATTGATAATTTTGATTCAATATCTGAATGTAATTTATTTCGTTTAGATAATTTTGTTATTGATGTTGAAGACGATGAGAGATGACATTTTTCATTGTTATCTAAATAAATATCTTCATTAAAAAATTAATATTGTACTCACTTCCTACCTTTTGCAAATTGATGAGGACTGGATGTTAATGTAGAACGAGGTCGTTTGTGCCCTTTTGAATAATAGATAAAGCAATTAAAGATATCTCTATCTCAATGATATATAGAATTTTATGTATTTTATTATCTCTTAAATGTATGTTAACAATAAAATTTTATATACTATCGAAATTTCTTGTCATTCAAAAATTAAAATTAAATTTCTATTTGAATATTCGAATTTTACAGAAATATACGATTCAAAATTATTTCTTGCTTATTTAAACAGTTGCATATATTGTACATTGCACGACAAAATGATTAAATACCTAACAAACAGAGCTGACAAGGTAACCTACTATTCGAATCGAGGGACATCATTTTTGATGTTCTTTCGTTTTGTGTTTATTTTTTATAGAGCAAGGTTAATAACAAGTTATTAATCATATACAGAATATATACTTCGGAGTCTTTTTCTGTATAGAAAAAAAAACAAAAATAAGAACGATATTACATAAAATAAAATGACAGAATTACATGGAAATAAATATAGATGACAAATATTCAGTATGATGTGCTACTTAAAATTAAGAGTGATGTTTATAAAATAAAAAAATGAGATAGAAATTGAATTCAAATCTATAGATGAGAATAATACTATTATAATTCGATTATTTTTCAATCACGAAAAGAAGGTTTTTTGATCAAACTTGATTCAAAGTTAAAATACATCCATGAAAATCAAACGCATAGATGGTTTAATGAAATTATCGACTTTGATTTATCGATTAGAATAAAATCTATTTCTCAGATAATATCAGGATTCGATAAAGCTTGTCTAAATCATAATAAATAAAATTTTCTATCACAAATACAATGAAAGTCGACAACTTCAGTAAAACTATATATGCATCCAAATTCATTGATATGTTTAAGATTTTAGTCAAGTTTTAGAAAAAAGAAAAGCTTTCTTTCTTTCATTACAAAAAAAATCGAGTTTAAATAATATTAGTCTCACTTCTATCTATAACCTCAATTTCTATCTTATTTTTCAACACTCTAATTTATGAGCATCATTTCAACATCTCGTAAAGATGTATAGTGTTAGTGTAGCTATTGAAAAGTTAATGAAGATTATAGCGCTTGTGAAAATGAGTACAAAAGTATGCTCAATACTGCAAACAACAGCTCATCGAATTATGACAAAATTAATTTTTTTCAAAATCATACAAAATACAATTCTTCGGAAGCTCTCTGAACAAGACTTATACAGACCGAAGTCTTAGTCTTTCAGAATTCCAATAGAGCAGCTGTTCATATTTCTTTTTCGATCATACGTTTAGGACATACTGTATTTTATTGTAAACTTTCAATCATCTACATGTTACAAATTTAAATTAGAAAATCATTGTATATTTCGTGAGACACGAGTGTGGATATATACGAGTAACAAACCTGGACATCCTACACCAGAGTCCGTCACATTCAAAATTTTGGATCTGGATCAAGTCAGATCGTACTTTTATATTTTCAATGAATTTTTCCTATTGGCATTGGACAGTCTCCTGGAAGATACGAGATATTTCTTTCTGGTTTCTTGCATTCGATGACTAGCGCACTCTAAATATTTCTCGAACCACTAGAGCCTATCAGATCCGAAGTCAACTCGACAGACTCTATCCCACATATCACGACAGACATAATCATGTAAAGGTCATATATCGCGTACGCCTAATGTCTCGTTATAACATATGAACTACTTCCTTGTTACATGTATATAGGATTAAGTAAAAGGATAGTAAATAAATGTGTCACAAAATAGATGTAATAACATAATCTGTCTGTGATTAGTAATAGTGACTGCATCGTATTTTACATTTTAATCTTGAAAGAATTGTGTTAATAACTATCTTTACCTGAAATTGGAGTACATTGATATTTAACAATATTATTTGAATCTGTTTCATCTTCATAGTCATTTTCTGTTTTTTCTTCACAAAGTCGTTCATAAAGACGAGGAAGCACTAAATATATTGAGAAATTCTGTTTTTCTTTGAAAAATAAAATGTCTTTACAATTACCTTTTGTTTTCACTGTTGATTTAGGTGCAAAATTATTAATAATTGATTCTGACAAATAATTTTTATCTCTATATATAATTAAATAAAAACAAAAAGAAAATACATTGAACTAATAAAAAAAAAAATATCATAAACATACAAAAATATATGTTTCTCATCATTTTGATTTGTAGATATTGTTCTAATTAAATAATATTTTTTAAATATAAAATAAAGACAAAAAGAAAAAAAAACAAATTTCTTCTTCTTACTTATTTATTTGTAATGATAATCGACTTAAATAAGCTCGTGTTAATAATGGTCGATAATATGGATCAATTGTCCATACAGAACGGGATTTAAGTATAATACGTTTTGTTTTAATAAAACATGGAATATTAATTAATGTTTGTTTTAATAAATCTTTCCATCCACGTTTATTTATTATTTGTTTTATATTTATTTGTATATATTCATATAATTGTTTTAAAGTTAATAACCATGGTGTTTGTTTATCATAACGTTTAGAATATAAAGCAAGAAATATTAGAACACCAAATGATAGAGAATTTATATTTAAATTTTCATCATCATAAGATTTTAATTCATGACATAATTTACTTATTTGATCATCATTTGAATTTATATATTGAAAAATTTTCTCTTTTAAATTATTATTATTATTATTATTATGATTAGTTTTATTATCTTTATATTCTTTCAATTTAAATGTATTTAACCATTTTAATTCAGTTAAATCATCTGAAATAGTTTGTTTTTGTGATGATGAATTTGATATTGAAGCAAAACAAGAATGACTTAAAGATGATTTTTTATGATTATTTAAATTTTTTGATGATATTTGAGTAGATCTTGATAAAGAACTATGACATATTGAAATGTCATCATCATCGTCATCACTAGTATTTGAATTTAAACCGGTTATTTTTGCTGCTTGTGTTTGTAAAAATGCAATAACATCAGTTTGACTGGCGACAGTCAATAGATTTAACGAGTCACATTCATCTCCTTCATTACCCATAATAACTTTATCTTGAAAACATAAAAAAAAAAAAGATTTCGAAAAACTGCATAATTATGATGATTACAAAGTAATCTTTATTTTGTGTTTCATTTTCGTTCGTAATTCGTACTTATTTGGCAGTTTAAAAGTACAAAAAAAAAATGCAAAATGACAATACGTCATTTAGTCTATGATCGACCATATCGTTGCTCTGTTTGAACCCTCTTAATGATAGTAAATTTTTTTTCAGTAATTTTATTTTAAATTATTGAGAACATTCATATCTTTCAAGTATAACAAATCGATTTTATGTTCATCATTTCGAGAAGATTTATTCAAAGAAAATCAGACATGAATGACATCTAGTGATAATTTATGTGTTAGAATAAAATCTCTAGTGATGGATAAAAATGTAGAATTGTTGTATTTTTGAGTAATGGAAAGAATTCTCTATCAGAGTCGACGAACTTAAAAGCTTCAATAAAATTAATTGAATGAGGATGTCTGAAAAACCAAGATCCTCGAAAATCTGCTTTCTAGCATCATTCATTGGAATGATTTTATTCGATAGAACACTATGAGATGTTTCGGCATTTCAGACATTTTCATCAAAACAGTTTTATTGAAGATTTTAAGTTTCTTAATCGTAATATAGAATTTCTTTCAGCTATTCACAAGATTTTCTCGGATTTCTTTTAAGTATTACTACCGAAAAGAAAACTGATCGATACAACTAATCGAAATTTTTGTCCACCACTATGTATGTTAATAGAAATACATCAGATCTTCCAAAATAACAGTAAAATTTCTGAATTTTTCTGAGTTGTAATATTTTTCTAAATTCGACCTTTCATGAATTTGCTTATAACTTCGAAGTTAACTCTCTTGAGCGTGAATCGAAAACGTTTCTAAACTAAACTGAATCGAATGCATGATAAAAAGAAACTATTTGAATAAAAAATTTTGCCGATATAAACTGAATTTTAGGTATAAAAAAAAGAATTTTTTCACATGATAATTCTAACGCATTAATCTGAATTCGATTCAGCCGTGCGTAATAAATTCAAGGATTCGAATACGAGTATAAGTGACATTAAAGGAGAAAAAAAAACACTATATCACCAACGATTTTCACATAAAATACTGATAGATCAAATACCATTTCAATACAAATAGCAATACATGTATTGAAACAATAAATGGCTCAAACTAGAGACCGTCAGTTCGATCCGGATCTAAATTGTTTTCAATCCGATGGCCTCTAAACCTGACCGTCAAAAAAATCACACCAGTTTTTTTCCTCTTGATAAACACCTATTAATGAAGGTAAAAAATGAAGATGACTTAATCTAAACAGACAGATCAATGTTTTTTTTTATGGCTCGCTCCATTGCACAATGGATTGCGCAATGAAAGATGTATAGAATTGAAGTTAGAAACAATGCAGAGATCATGGTAAAGACGAATTGTCAACACTGAAACTGGTACCACGAGAAAAAAAGTTGTTGCAATCGAAACTAAACCTGATTTGCTCGAGCTATGTGACCAAGGCCGCAAAATCTTAGTACGCCGCATGTATACATACGATTTGAATACTGATCCAATTGTTATGAATCGTTCTAATCTAACAATACAATATATTATTTTAATAGTGCTTTAGTTTCGTATAGTTTTAGTCATATTTGTATAGGAATTAAAATCATACGGATAGATGTTCTTGAAGGCATTGGACAAAAAGTTATGTATTTTCATTAATTTATCATAACTAAATCTTTTTGATTTCGATTTTTTTCCTATAATTTTTTGTAATTCTATCAATTAATCTATAAATAATTTTGATGAAAATCTTGAATTTGTTTTAGATATGACAATAAAAAAATCAAAAGAACTTCATTTAAATGTCAAACTTAACATAGTCTCTCAATAACTTTGCGTAACACTGAGCGGTTGTTGATATTCACATTTATAGGCTTAGTAAAAATTATATAAGTTCTTAAAAATGAAAATACGATGCTTATAGTCCTAAATATTTTCTTTTTGTTGTGTCCTGTGAATATGAGATTCCTATGTTAGAACTTGGACATTTTTAGTCGTAGGAAAAAAACATTGCTAATATAAGAAAGTAATGTTTATCAACGAATATTGACTCCTCTATTGTATTATGACTTAGATCTCATTTATAGTTACATGAATAATGACCAAATCTTTATTTTAAATGTAGCTGAAAGTTCTCTAGAAAATAAAAATAAACAATTACTTCATTAACGAGTATTGCCTATGAATAAAAAGTACTCAATTACACACGTATTTTTTAGTCTATCAGAAACATTGTTTCACCTATAATTTCATAATGATTCATTATTGAAAAATGAAATTTTTATCATCAGTGTAGTTTCATATATTGTATCAAAATAATTAAAGAATACATGATGGTATCAATAATTATTTTTCGAACTTCGAAAGAGAGAAGGTCAATACAACAAGCTTTTTTTTTTATTAACATCGAAAAAAAATTCAATACCTGCCTGGTTGTGGTATTTCATATATTCACAAGCAAAAGAAAAAATTAATAAAGTATAACCTATAGAGAAGGCATCAATGCTGTTTCTTATTTGTTAAACGAAACAAATCAACTATTCACTCATCATTCGTATTAACATGTAGCCAAATCATATAGAATTATTCAAAATTTGATCAACTATACTATCTTGTACCTCTATAAGTATCAAAAAAGAAAAAGTTCGTTATATACAACTTAAAATAAGTTTCTACATTTTTATCTAACAGGTCAAAAGATAACATATCTTTCTTGTTTTTTGTAAAATTTTATCTTTTTTAATTTCTGAACACAACATATACAAACAAAGAATACAGTAAAGAAAACAAAAATGAACAAATCAAAACAACAACTTGTTTTTTTGTGTTTTTTATATGTTTAATATTCTAACTACCATTGATCATGATATATATATATACAAAGATTTATAGACAAAAAAAAAAAAAAAGCAAAAAAAAGAAAACGATTTTTCTATTTTCCACCTTGTTTATATTGAGCAATTTCTCGATCATATCTTTCTTTTTCTTGTCGAGCTCTTTCTTCATAATGACGTTTTTTATCATCACTAATTGCACGCCATCGTTCACCAATAACTTTAGCTATGTCCGAAACAGACAATGATGGATTTTCTTTTTTTATTTTAGGTCGTTCATCTTGTGAAAATAAGAAAAATGTTGATAATGGACGTTTTGGTGCATTTGGATCTTTTTGTGATTTAGGAGCTCGTGGCATTTCTAAAGAGAAAAAAGAAAATGATTTCTTCTGGTTTTTTTCAATTTTTGAACTACATACTTTTGAAGTAGATGTCGTATGTTATATACGTATATGTCAGTTAGTTTGAGTTGAATATGAATAGAATCAGTGAACGCGAATTGCTTACTTCTCTATCGTCGTCGGTCGCTCGTTGTGTTGTGCGTATGAGAGTAAGCAAGTAGGGCAGACATACAGACATTTTATTCTCTTCCTGACGTTAAAGAGACAAAGGGAGAGAGACGAAGAAGCAGAAAAAAAAATTCTTCTTGCCTTACACACATAAACGTACAACGGGCAACGTTCATTGTGTGTAGAAAGAGAAGTGTGTATAGGGCAAGCACTATAGCAGCAGTCGACTCGATGATTTTCCTGCTCGTTCTTTTTCATTGCACGACGAGAGAACAACATAGTACAAAGCAATGAGAACGATAACAAGATAGAAAGAGAGAGAAAAAAAAAAAGGAATATAGATGGAAAAGAAGTAAAAATTGTCACCGTTGATTATGAAAAATCGACAAAAAAAAAAAGTTTTGAACATTTGTATAACTTCAATTGAAATTATCAAAAATAGTATTTATACACTTTGAATAATATCAACATTGATATTTTTTTTACAGTAATTATATGTATGAATTTGATTAAATTTTTGAAATATAATTTTCTATGAAATTCATATCTTATCGTATTTTATGCTTTTGAATAATCTTTTGTATACAAATCTGAAAGTATTTGAATGAATGATGAATTCAAGATTTTAGCAACGAGAGACAATCATGATCATAAAATATATTTTGAAATCTATTGAAGGTCATATTGGTTTATTTTCAGGTGTTCTCTGCTAAGAAAAATATTTCCGAAGGGAAAGGCAATCGCTCTTGATTTCAATGTCCAATTCATTTTCATGAGGGAAGCTGTGCATTGAATGAATTTCAATTAATCATTGGAAGAGTATTCATTTCTCTTGATACATTATGGTGTTTAATATTATTTCGTAAAGAATGTTCTTCATAGATTAAATAAGATCTATCTATCTTCAAACAGTTTGAATACTTGTTTATGTTATTTCAGTGATAATTTTTTTAAAGAATCATTTGCATATATTTCATATTCACTTCTTTTTATGTTATCAAATACATGGATTGAACATGCACAAAATAAACTCGATAATTTAAATTCTATATTCATAAATTTTAATAGAGACTGTATCTTCCTAGACATAGGAACAATTCAACTACTAACGAAAATTTAGTTACAAATAACTATTAACGTAAAAACTTGATGGTTAAGATGTATAGGGTAAGCTATTTTGTCGTGTTCTGACTGAACCCAATCTAAGAAAAATTTTCTTATCCTAATTCTGGAATCCTGGACTGTTCTGATGAGCGCTACTCTATAAGTAAGAACGAATTATAACTGATTTCTTATTAGATCACTACCAACATTACTTGAGAAATGTATAGGATGTTTTAGCCACTGTATACCAATAATCATAAAAAGTACCTCATACCTTCAGATCAATGATAAAATACTGATAAAAAAAAATTTCATTTAAAATATTAAGACTGTAAGATTCGGGTATGAATCTAACATTTTTGAACTTAACGAGGTCTAACCCTGACATTACCTTGTAAAGCTCTAATTGCTGGTGAAAATCAAGTCAATTAGTTGAGCAAGAACTGCCATATATGTATTGCCTCTTCTTCTTTTTTTTTTAATTTTGTTGAAAAGTATAAAAATCGTTATGGATGACTCGTTAATAGTATAATTAAATTCGAGATTGAAAAATCACTGTCGCTTTATTTGATCGATGTTAAATATATAGGCTATGAAGGGTTTTTTTTTTTCGTATGATAAAATCTCAAGTTCTTTTTTTTCTTTAATAATAACCTTTACACTTTTATTCTGTCATTGATGAGAAGTGATAATGATAAAATTCGTTTACTCATGATTAATTCATTAACAAACATTGATAGGTTTTGAAATTAGATAATCCAAGTTATTTTCAATGCACAAAAAAAAAGACAAAAGTAAAATATTCCTATAAATTCTATTTATGGAAATAATCTATTTTTTTCTTCATTATTCATTATTAAAATTTTTATTTAAACGATAGAGATTAATTAGTTCATGATAACGTTTCATTATTTTCTTTGTACCTTGTGAATCTTCAAGAATCTGATATTTTCTATCTAAGATGATGATCTATTTGATATTGAATTAATCTATATACCATCATAGTGAGCTATGGCTATGGTTAGGAGACGTGTGAAAGTGTGTCTCGCCATTGTATATCGAAGAAAAGGATGCGCTCGTATGCTCTCGACTCATTCAATGGATGTTTCAATTCAGTTATGGTCGGACAAGTTGATTGCTGTATACTCTTCTCTCCTGTCAGTTTTTCTTTTTTTTTTCGTAGATGATAGATCATTTTCGCATTGAACATCATGTATACCTTTCTTCTTTTTTTTTTTTTTTGAGCGACGATTATTGCTCAGAGAAAGAGACAAGGGGAAAAAATAGAGGTGCTCAATCAGGCAGAACATAAAAAGAAGAATACGAGAGAAAATGTTTCGTTCATATGACAAAGAGCGTTAAATGCAATCGACAAACGAGTAGTAAGTATCATTGTTATACATAAAAAGACAAATTTTATTAAGTGAAACTTGAAATGAGATATAACATTTTTTTTTTTCAATAAAATCGTGTTTTTTCTCATTCAAATTAATTTGTTATTTAATCGAAATTTTTTCATCATAATAAACACATGGGCATTAATGTTTAAATAAAAAATAGTCACTAACAATGAGTATTTCAACCTAGATGGAAAAAAAACCCTCATTCAACCAATCCGAAATACTATTTTATACGATTGTATTATACTATTATATTTAACCGTCATTGTCCTTGCCGATCATTTATAAAATAGAAGCTTGTATATTATATTTTCACCACTTACTGTTTACCTTTCTACTCTCAACTCATTCGTCCGTGACATGTCTCTGCTTATTGCATACCTATATATTCATCATAATATTCGATCGTTAACATTATCATGAGCCAATAATACACATAAATCATAGTTTTATTTATATTTTTTTTTCTTGCTGTTTGATATTATTCAATGTCACCTAAAGATTTTGTTGATGTTATTTCGGTAAGTTTACTTATTGCGATGGTGACACGAGACAAATAAAAAAAAAAAAAAAAGAAGTCATAGATAATGCATATATTAATAGTCAAATGATAGGAAAAAGAAGTCAATTAAATTTTGTTTATGCGGTTTTTTTTCTCTTCGTTTTAGAATTACTTTTATTCAATACAAATGGACAATGAACGTGAAGAAGCCGATGAAATTGATTTAACAGTAAGTTAAATTGTGGTTTTTTTTCTATTATTGACACAATAAAATGTTTTTTTTTTATTATTTTTAGATTATTCAACGTACATCATCAATAGATTCACTTGAACAAAATGAATCAAATATACAAAATCTTCGTTTTATTAGTGGTTGTCATAAATGGATAAATACAAATAATAATAATAATATTCGTGTAGAAAAATCATATATGATTAATAATGATACTGATGATTCAATTCATGATAAAACATTTTTAATAATGAATAAAAATAAAAATGATATTGAAGATGATGCAAATACTTGTAATACAAATCAAATGGATGTATCACTCAATCATTTTGATGTACAGTTACAAGTTAATAATGGTCAACATGAACAAGCAACTCGTTATGGTGTTTTTTCATCATTATTATCCAAAGATTTAAATTTAATTAAAATAGATCAATATTCACAAACAATTGAACCTGAAATGGATATGGATGATAGAAATGGAAATAATAATAATAATTATTATTCGAAACAATATAATGGAAATAATAGTACAAATAATAATAACAATAATGATGATGGTTCATATCGAAGAAATCATCAAACAAATGGATCATCAGGAAATGGTGGAAATGGAAATGCTGATGGAAATGGTTCAAATCCAAATCGAAATAATAATAATAATCCAAGACGGTAAACATATATACATAGTGAAAAAATCAAATTTATTTTTTCCCAATATTATCAAATTGAAATGCATGAATTCCTAGAACATGATGTCAAAAATAACACGTTTTTTTTCTTATTAAGAGAAAGTTCGTGAGAAAATCGAGAATTGTACTAGAATCCTCATAACATATACTTTTAGGATTTTATTCGACAGACCTACAAGTATTGAATTATGAAGGAAGTCCGAGAAATTACATCAAAAAGTTCTTCTCGGTGTTTCCCATCTGATCCCGTCACTTTTTGTCCATTTTTTTTTCGAGTGATATCTCTTTCGAAAGAGCTTATCAAGCTGAACAAAAAATGTCGTTTGAGATTTGCAAAAGTGGGATTTTCATTGAGAAAATATAAATATTTCACAAGCGTTTTTATTTTATTGTAAACTATATTTCGAAGCGCTAGAGGTCGAATGAGAAAATTCCGTATAGGACATCTTATAAAGGACTTCGTGTTGTAAAAAAAAGCATATAAGAAATATAAGAAAAACACTTCACCTCAGGTCGGGACTTTGGATAGAAAGCAGATTGATAGCATGTACAGGTTTAGAAGAATAATGAACAAAGTAGATCATTTAACCATTAAATATTTTGTTTCAAGCAAAACCCATGTTATTTGAATTTTTATATGGGTTTTATAGATCACGAAATTCTCCATAAGATGTACTATGCTAGATTTTCCTGTTCGATTTTTTGAACTTCGAAAAATAATTCGCCATAAAAACGTACTTTCGAAAAAATCTGACTTTGTTGAAAAATTCATGTTTTACTCATGAAGTCCTTACTTTTGGAAATTTCAAAAGAAATATTTTTGTTGAGCTTGATGATCTCTTTCGAATGAGATGTCAATCGTAAAAAAATGGACAAAAAGTGACGGATTTTGGACATGAAATACTGGAAAGAATTTTTTTATGAGGTTTCTCAGACGTACTTCATGTTTCGATACCTTACAACTCTGTCAAATAAGGTTCAGAGAGTCGAAAAAACTTTTGTTAACCTCAATTTTTTGCAAAAAAATCAAAGAAGATCAAAGTTAAAATAAACGTTAGTATTGATCATGTTATGACGATTCTCGATGGGCTGGCGAAACATCTCTTAAGAATAAGTTCCTATGTATTGTTTATATCAACCGTGATCAGCACTTTTTTCCTTGGTTCGAAGTTATAGTCGAAATTCGTATTTATTAGTTTTTCTTTTGACCAATTTCATTTGGTTTTGAAATGAAACCTAAGAATAACTTTCGGGAGTTCGGTAATTCTCCAGATAGGAAATATTCAGAACTCGGATTAGAAATTCAAGCAATTGGTTTATCCTTGCTTTCTAAAAATACATGCTCAGTAGTGTGAGTTATCAGACTTATATTGATTCTTCATGCTAGTTATGACCAGTTTTGAAGGTTCTTTCCAAAGCGATTCTTAGCTTTCGTTTTATGGAAAAAAAAGATCATACAAGATGAGATGTGAGAGTTCGTCCAAAAATGAGCTTTTATCGATTTCACTTTATCTTTACTAGAATTGAAAGCTAATAAGTCTAAAACAGGTTGATTCTATTTGAACACTAGATACGTATTTATCTCTTCACACATAAATATGTGAATTCAAAGAAAGTTTTATCGATTAAGGTCTTCCAACTCTCAAAAAGATGAAAATTAAGATAAATGCATGTGAGAATAGTCCGAAGGATAGTCTTTCATCAATGATATGATTTTTCATTCAGCAACTCACTTTTTTGCCAAAATGTTTGATGACTTCTATTGTTACCTGTTTGAAAAACCAGTTTTTTTTAGAGTGTTTTGCTTATTCTCGATTTATAGTGTTTTGATCTCGCAACTCAGAGTTCGCTGTATACTTTCATTCTATCCATTTAGTTTTGTTTTGTTTGTAAAAGCATGTCAAGATGCAATGTAGTACAGTCTTCTTTTTATATATACAAATACTAATATAAATAGACACATATGTTTAGAGTTTTTTGAGTCATTGAACTTTTATACCTTTTCTTCGCTTAAGAAGTAAGAATTTGAAAATATACTTCTGTATCGGTCTGCATCTTGACATGTTCTTTCAAGTAAAAAAATAAATATATAGAATAAGCCTAGACAGTAGACACCATCGAATCCGAAAATTTTTCTATCTGGACCCGTACCCTGTCATATAGTATTGCGATACTTTCAATGAAACTTTTAAGCGAAATCGGATATTTGCTTCGAAAGTACCAGAGATACCTTTTTCTGTTTCTTTTTGTATTCGGTCACTGGGACACCCAGAGCATTGCACAGATGACTAGAGCTCATCAAGGCCAAAAATTTTCGAAGCCTGACCTGATGGACTCTATTAGGCAGAGAAATTTGGTCATGTAAATGAGCTATTTTTTTACCTTTATTTGATAAATATCTGTGTCGAACGTCATGGTATACAATTGAATATTTTACTATAACCACTCCATTACAGTCTCAACGTTGTCGCCTAATTTCAGACAACTTGAATGTACCTGGTGTGAAATCGGTTTTTGAGAGAGTGGTCTTAAGTACACAGTAACTACGAAATAGATGTATAAAGCAACATATCGATAGTTAATACTGAAGAGGTCTTAAAACAAAATCATACGTCGAAAAGACAACATGGTAGGGTAGTGATGAACGTAGATACAGATAGATAATCGAATATAAACACCAGTTAGTAAAGGAATAATGTGAATGTACACATGTAATGACGTAAATGGAAATTATAAAATAATCACTTTGATAGTATGCACAAAGAAGCATAGATATAAAGGTATAAATGTAAGAGTAAATGGATAAAAATATAGTGATAAGGGTTAAGGCACAGAAATATAGGGATATAGTCATTAGAGTATAGGGCGTAGAGATATAAATGTAAGGATATAGGTGTAAGAGTGCATTCATTAGAGTATCGAAATAGAGATATAAGTCTAGAGGTATAAGTATAAGGATATAGTCCCATAAGTCAAAATATACAGATATATCTATACCTAATTATGCTACGAGAAATTAAAATGTTGGCTATCTATGCGGATATATGATGTATGTATGAACTACAGAGATCGCTTCTATAATTTATAAAGTAGAGAATGTTAAGTTGTGTGAGATATTGTCAAGGGCTAAGGCAATATAGTGACATCAGAAGGCACCATCTTTTATAATCATACAAAATCATATTGTTGTAACTTAGATAGGGCTTTGTGTAAGTCTTGATGTAAGATGTCAAAGATAATGATTTTTCATATGATTTCTATCTGATCTTGTACGATCAGACAGTACTAGAGATATAGCTCTCATAAGATCTTACCATCCGATTGGTTGATTGGAGTAGAAAAATTCCTTTTTATTTAAATACGATAATAAAAAGAACCTCTTCTGTATTATAGTATTTACATTTGACTATCATTATAAATCCACACTTTGAATTCCTCATATCCATTTTGATTCTTCGTAGTTTACAGAGGATTCTCTAGGTAAAACATGAATAGTCCTTGAGTAGGCTAATCAGTTTCGATAAATGTTTTATAAGATCATATTCAATATTCTTTAAATTTATTTATATATATATTTTCATTAACAATGAATACTTAAAATGATATATAGATTCGTTCTTTTCATTTGTTTACCTCTAATACTGAAGTCTATTGAGTCCGATGCTGCAAATTTCCTGTTGATCGGTTTTGGAACCAATCCCACAAATTAGCATCTAAACGTAATAGTCAACTATGGCTTAAGTATTATAAGAACATCGTCAAGATTTTCTGAGAAAGGTATAGAGTGTATCATTATCACTAATCAAAGCGACTATCAAAGTTCGAGTAGATAGTTTCGTTGAAATTACGAACACGGTTCGGACCTAAATCCAAAAATATTCAACCTGACAGGCTCTATTTACTACATAATATCCTATCAATACAACATGGAGTGCTTCATCGAACTGAATTATATTATCGATGAAAATCTTTAAGAAAAATATTGTATAGAAATTAATGAGATGCTCTATGTTAAAGCCTTTCCCTTCAAAATTATTTTTCAACACAATGCATGAGATCGCAATGAAACGTTTTGAAGATGTTCGACTAATAAAAGTACACCAATTAAAAAAGAATCCACGGGTCCAAACTTCATAGCTACATTTTCGTCTATGATAGAAAACAATAATTTCTATCGTATTCATAGCTTCCCTATAAATTTAGTAAAATCATAACATCTTTATATATATTTAAAATATTTTTCTTCTTGTAGACCTAATGGTAATGGTAATGGTAATGGAGACAATGAAGATGACGAAGAAAATAATGAAACAGATGAAAGTTTAGCTCGTCGATTAGGTTTTCGACCAATTGATAATGATATAATACGCTTAATAGGTCGTATACGTCGTTTAACAAATAAACAATCATTTGATCATCAAGATTTTGAAAATGTTCAATATTTAATTGATGAATTAATACGTTTACAACATTTAGAAAATAGTTCACAAGAACATTTAGAACAAATTATTCATTATCTTAAACTTTATCGTATATTACGTTCAAAATCTCATGCATTACAATTTATACAAGATCGTTTACCACGATGTACAAATCGATCTAATAATGATAATAATTCAAATGTATTTGATATATGGCGTGAACGAGAACGACGTGCACGACTTGATTCAAAAGATAGTTTAGAAGACGAAGGACAAAATACAAATGGACAACAATCACATGATAAAGTCGAATTCAATTATTCAACATCACCAATAATTCATTCAAATAATTTTAATAGTAAATCAAAAGTTAAACAAATGGCAAGACATATTGATACAAGATCAGGATCATCACGTACAGGAGATTATGTACGACATTCATCACCATCACCAATAAATCAAAATTTGGCTTCTGATCGTTAGTTAGAAATAATACATATATATATATATATATATATATTATTTAATTAATTCGTCTTTTTTATTTTTATTATTAAGGTTTATATAGTGAAACATTTACTGACGATCGTTCACGAACGAGAAGACAAGTATCACCAATATCATCATCGGAACAACGTCGTGTACGACAAATGGTTGATCGTCTTGAATCTTCATCAGCATCATCAGCACATCCAAAAGTAGCAAAAACAATATCAGCAAATAAATCTTATTATGAAGAACATTCAAATACGCCAACAAATTTTACATCATCACCAAATTATAGACGAACAACAAGACGAGAAAATGAAGAATGTTCTTTTACAGATGGAAATCGTGGAAGTGTACGTTTTCGTGATACAAGTCCATATGAAGAAGTTCATGTTCGAGATAATAATTCAAATATGAGAAGATTTGAATATGGTTATAACGAAGCTTTAAATTCAGGACGGCATACTACTAGTGGTACACATGTAAGTTACTGTCGATAGTTTGAATTTTTCGAAAAAACAAAAAGAAAAAAAAGAAAATGATAAAAATTTTAAGATTTCTAATTACAAATATGATTTTAAAATCTTCTATTCAAAATTCTTGTTTATTTGTTTTCGTTTTGTACGTAGATGAACGAATATGTAAATTCAACTATTCCGGATGCTGAAACATCTGTTTCAATGGTTCGTGATTTTCGTACTCGTTTTTATGACGATGATTTAATTCTATCACGTACTCAAAATGATAATATTCCAGTTAAAGTTGATGTTGAAACATTGTATATATTAGAACAAAAATCTGTACCACCAAATACTAATATTTATACACCTGATTATGGATACAATCGTTCATCAACATTGGATCGACATGATTTTGCTGCCCAAACAACAATACCAACAATAAATCAAAGGCCATCTAATCGACCAATAGGTACACAAGTTAATACAACTGTTGAACAAAATACAGTTTCAGCACAAACAACAGATTCATTACATCGACCAATAAGAGAACGACAATGTATAACAACAATAGCATCTGTTGAAGATGATGAAGACAGTGAAATTATTCGAAAAAAAACAACAACAACAACAACAAAATATGAAGTTAAACGTCGTCATTCAAGTCATCATTCAAGTGACGATGAAGATGATGCTGGTACAACTACAATTGTTTATACTGATGATAAAGAAAATTATCAAGCAATAACTCAACCACCACCACCTCCTCCTCCTCCACCAATGGAGGAGGAAAGACATGATCTTTCTGAACAACGTACATCATATGTTGAAGTTACATCACATGAACGTACTGATGAAACAAGTGATACAAATCGAAATCTTGTTCGTCGTCATATTGAACAAAGTGATTATAGTGAAGATGAATATCATTCATCAGAAGTTTATGAAATTCATACTCGTGGTGCATGTAAATGTCTTGTTGTATCTTATGAAGAAAAACCTCAATATGGTGCTGAAACACGTTTTGAAAAACAACTTCAACGTATTGAACGTACATATACCGAAGAAGAATTAAGATCAACTGAATTACATGTTATTGTTACAGCATCAGATGAAAATTATCAATTAGTTCGACGTGAATATACATCAAATAGATATGATGGTGAAGAAAGAATATATGATAAAACAAGATATCCATCTATAACAATACATTATTATACAAAAGATGGAATTCGAACGAGAACAGAACAACGTCGATCTCTTGAAAATTTACCTTTATTTATTCGTTGTGAAATTGAATATGAACTTAATCATTATGGTATGTGAAAAAAATATTTTTTTTATTGTTAAACTAATATTCACTCATATATATTAGATATCTTCGTTAGATAGAAAATTTGATAGAATTCATCGTGTATTCTTTTCTAAGAATGTAAACCTTAAGAGTTCAAAGAATTTCTATTCACTAAATTTTCTACATAATGTTTTTTTTAAGTTGTCGAAATTTTTTCTATTGTGTCATAACATAATTAAATTAACGAGGGAATCGTATGATGTTCTAATGAAACTCTTAAAAAGATTTGAGGTCTTATCGAGATTTTAATGTGTATATTTCCTCGATTATAAGTTTTCGAAAAACTTGCATTTTCCAAATTTCGATCTGAAACACCGTTTACATAGAAAACGCGACTAGACTAGCTTCCATAAAAGAAAACCAGTTAGTTTGAACAAAGTCTTTTCGAGATATAAGGCTTTCTCTAAAATGCATGTTGTATATACTATTCATGAAAACAGTACATTTTTAACGTCTCATATCTCGAAGAAACTTTGTTTAAACCTCCCCGAATTTTTTCGTGAGAGCTATTCTAGTTGAGTTCTGTATATTGGCAAAGTTTCAAATCAAAATTCAAAGATCAGAGTTTTCCGACAGCCTCTGACTTCTATGAAATAAATATATTAAAAACTCGACAGAATAGGCAAATTTCCTTAGGAACTTGAATCCTTTTAGGGTTTTTATTAGAGCACTATTTAGTTTTCTGTAGACAAAAATCGTTGAAATCAGAAGAGACATCTGAAGAAATTCTTCCATAGGGGTAGATACTTGTGGTGGAGATAAACTAAGGTTGAAGTTAAAACATTTCTGAAGAATTTTATCGTTAAATGTGGCTTGTAACTGCAATATCGATCGGACTCTAAAAACATATATCAGTTTGTATAGTTCAGGTGGTCTTCTCGGTAAGTAAATTAAAATTTTTAAAATTTCATTGGATTCAAATTTGATAATTTTATCAACTTTTTGTAAAACGATTAAAATTTACATTTTAACTTTTAAAAATTCGATTACTGCGAACGAATATTGAAAATAAATTGTTTTAAAAGATTTTTATAAAATTTTTCTTTTTTTACCAAGCATGCTGTAATTTGTAGAGATCGTTAGTTTTTTGATAATAAAAACTTTTCAAGACTTCGATAGTTACTGTAATTTGTAGAGGACATAAGTTTTTGATCAAAGAAATTTTTTTAATGTAGTACTCTGTCTGGAATTTGTACAGGACGTTAGATTTTTAGTTGAACTAAAATTTTCCTTTGAATCTAGCTCCGAAGAATTTTAATGGAAGTCAATAATAGAATGTACTAGCTAATTTTTTTTCTTTGTTATGGATAAACTAATATTCATAGTGCACGAGCAAGGGTCGTCGATTTGGGGCTGAACTAAGGACGTTTTCAGTTCAAGACAAAGCGAGTTTTTAAGAAGATTGTATCGTAACTTGTTGTGATAATTTGACATTTGTTCTGACTGTGGTGTGGACGAATCGAACTGTGTTCGTCAAGAGAAGACGCTCATTAACATCTATATTTCTGAGTCGTCTTTTTTAGAACATCATTTTTTGTATTTATGATTTTTGTCTATAAATGCTTTTGCACCCCAATCAGTGATCTCCATTTAATTTTCGATTCTATTTTACTATCATAATTATATAGTCTGTTCAAAATCAAAAACAGCTGATGACATTAATAGTAACAATTATGTCTGACGAACTCAATAAATTGCAGTCAATTAAGAATAAAAAAAAGCACTACTATATTTTAGCGCACTCTACAAATTACAGCTCATTAAATTGAAATAATGAAACTCAATCTTTAGCGAACTGTATAAATTTCAACAAGTTTAAAAATATAACTGAAATTTTAATTTGTTTTAAAATTGTTATCAGTAAATTTTTTTGAAATTTGAAAACCGAAAATTTAAGACCTAAGATTATTTTAAATTTGAATACAATAAATTTCAAAAACAACTGAAATTTAATTTAAGAGATTTTTAATTTCGATTTTATGTTCGCAAATGAGAGGACACGCAAAAGTTGTAATAAATACTGAAAGTACCATCAAAACACATGTTGTTTCCATAGTTGTATACTTTTAATGCTGCTGAATTTCGTAGAAACAAAAATTTATGAAGGAAAAAATTTCTGATGTTCCCTAGTTAATCTGTATTATCGTTGTTATAAATAATAAAGATAAACATAGAACAAGTTGCCAATGTGATAGGACAGAATATCAAGTAAAATAACAAAAATACTTACTTCAATTATCAAAGTACATATCAACTTAACAATATGTATATCATGCAAAAGTTTAGATGAAATCAGAGATGTCCATCGCGGCTGAAAATCTGCCGCTGCCGCGCCGCGACGGTTTATAAAAAAATGTTGCCGCGACGCTGCCGCACCGCGATGACTTATAAAAGAAACGCTGCCGCGATGAATTATAAAATAAACGTGCCGCCACCGCGCCGCTGCCGCGACGGTTTTCAAAAAAGTGTTTCTAATTTCACTGCTGTGACTATATTTGACCAGAGATATGGGTACTAGTCCATCAGATTTATTCAATATCAGGGTGTTTCATTTGTAAATCCTGAAATTCTATTAAATCCATACAGTTTTTCAATCTCCTCCAAAAAAAATCCTGCCGCTGCTGCGATGGTTTTTTAAAAAATCTGCCGCTACCGCGCCGCTGCCGCGATGGTTTTTTAAAAAATCTGCCGCTACCGCGCCGCCACCGCCACCGCGGCAGCGGCAGCGGCAGCGCCGCGATGGACATCTCTGGATGAAATAAACGATCAACTGTTTCGTCCTGTAGAATCATTCTTTGATTTATCGCTAATGAAAATGACCATTTTTGATAGTCCTACACTTGAAAAGATTCACTTGCATTGATTCTAAAATTAAATATCATAATAAATATTGTAAATTTTTCATTATTTATAGGTAGTGCACAATTAGTAATTTTATCTGTAACAAATGCTGAACGTCGTCAAGCAAATATATCAATAAAAAAAGAAATCGTTGATGAAACAATATTACATCTTAATGGTCGTTTACCACCAAATAGTCCTGAATTAGAAAATGAAATATCTCGACAATTAACTGAACCAATATCATTATTACATCTTGTTGATTATTCATCACGTGATGATTATAATCAAACAAATTCAACTGATTTACGTCGTGTATCACGTACTGATGTCATAACATCATTACGTATTGTTCAACGTTATCGTACTATTATACATCGTCTTTGTCAATTATATCGTTCACATCTACGTTTAACACCTCAAGCTGAACAACAACGTTATTTAATATTAGTTGCACGTGATGATTATTATTTATTAGATTTAGCAGCACAAACAACTGATATATCAACAAATAAACATGATATTCAACAACAAGAAGTATTTCAACGTGAAATTTATCATGTTCCACAAGAAGTATTTCAACCTGAAGTTCATCATGTTCCACAAGAAGTATTTCAACGTGAAATTCATCATGTTCCACAAGCACCATTTGATTATGCTAAATATCGTCGTGATATTGAACAACAACAACGTATACTTGAGCAACATTATCGTAGAATGCAAACTGTTCCACAACAACAACCAGAACCTACATCCGAAGCCGAATTTTATCTTGGTAAAAAATTTTCTTTTTTTTTGTTAAAAAATTTTCTTATTTGTTATATTTTTAAATTAGGTTCTGGACGTCGTGCATTAATTGAACGTGAAATTCATTCTATGCGTGGAGCAATACGACCACATGAACATGCACCACCACGTTATAAACATGAACCTTCACGTCGTTCATTATCAATTAGTTATACAGGTGGACAACGTTATGTACGTGCACGTATTATTCATGTTAAAGATTTTTATGATGCAAATCAACAAGAACAAGAACAATTACAAGAACCACAAAATGCAAAAGAACAAGAATTATTTGTTCGTGTTGATGATTATGTTAATGAATCAGCAGCAAATACTTTACGTCGTTCATATTCTACTGATTATTTACAAGAAGATGGACCACGTTCAAGAATTCGATATATGCGTATACCAGGAGAAACAATTAGAATTGAAGAAAAAACGACCTATGAATATAATGGAGTTATGTATGCTGATTTACCTTATGCATTAAAATATTGGAATATACTTTATATCCTTGATCGTGAAGCTCGTGAAGGTCGTCCACTTGGTTCATCATTGCCACATGTTATTGTCAATGATCCATATCGAACAGTTATACCTCCATTAACTCAACAAGAAATTCGTGCAACAGCACAACAAGTACTTTCACCACAATATTATCCACGATCACATACAGATCGAACATTACGTTGGTTTTTATCACGTGATAAACGTACTGAAATTGAATCTGCTAAATATTTACAAGCATTAAATCGTTATCGTCAACAAAAACAACAATATGAACAGCAACTACACCAAAAACCACCACCACCACCACCACAGCCACACTATCAACAACAACAATATGAACAACAACTACTACTGCAACAACAACAACAACAGCAACAATATCAACAACAACTACTGTTGCAACAACAAAAACAACAAGAGCAGCTTTACCAACAACAATTACAACAGCAACAATATCAACAACAATTATTACAACAGCAACAATATCAACAACAACTATTACAGCAGCAACAATATCAACAACCAGTAATACAACAGCAACAATGTCAACAAACAATAATACAACAGCAACCATATCAACAACCAATAATACAACAGCAACAATATCAGCCACCAATAATACAACAACAATATGAACAACAATTACTACAACAGCAACAATACGAACAACCAATAATACAACAGCAACCATATGAACAACAACTACTACTACAACAACAACAGCGACAATATGAACAACAATTATTACAACAGCAACAATATGAAAAAGAACTACTACTACAACAAAGACGTCAACAATATCATCAACAACAACAACCTAATGTTCATATTTGTGATGGAAAAATAGGTGTTGCAAAGAAATATTATGTTACTGAAAAACTTGTTCATTATAAAAAAATGCCTGATCGTTTTGTACCGGTAGTAGTTACTGATCGAGCACAATCAATCGATAATATTCATCATCGATCACCATCAACAACTCCAACTGTTAAAGAATCTTTTCATTCACAAAAACAATTACATCGCTCACAAAATGAAGTACATCGTTCAAAATCTCAACCACGTCATCAATACCAATCTTCACCATTAACATTTACATCGGATGTTCGAACACAATTGCCATCAACGTATGCACCATTATCACGACATCATTCAGTTCATGAATTACATGTTACAACAGCATCATCTCGTGGACCATCACCATCACCATCACTTCATAGTTTACATAGTAATTATCAACCTCAACATCATCGACGACCAGTTGCATTTAATAATCGTTATCAAACACGACCTTCAACACAACGATCAATGCAGCAGCAACAACAACAAAATACATTATTCACAGAAATAATTGATAGTGGCACAGGTGAAAGAATTTTAACGACCAGTCAACAACAATTACCAACTGAATTATTAGGTCTTTTAAATAAATATAATTTACAATAATTTTAATTTTTTTTCTCCTTTATTTATTTGTGTTTTTTTCGAATACAATAAAATAAATTCATTAATATTAATTAAATAGAAAAGAAAAAAAAAACAGAATTGATTATTTTTAATCATGACATGTCTGTTTAGAATTCTTGATGATATCGTTCAGTGAAACTAGCCATAGACTGTTGTCATTCACTAGAATAATTATTTTGTTTTGACGAAACAATTTAATTCTATAAATACATAATATTAATAATACTGAGATATTCAAAGTATAAACTTCGTTAGGACTTCTATTTATGTTCATGACGTCGATGTGTAAAATCAATCAAGTCACAATCAGTGTTAAATTTTTGAATGTTCAGAATTAAACTAATATAAAAAAAAATAAATAAATTTTCGAAATAAAAGATTATTATAATTTTTCTACAATTAAGGGGCCCCTCAAAATCGATATGCCACGTAGGATGATCCGTTTAGGCTGAAATTTTCAGAAGTGAATGATCATAGTGAGAAGCACTTTTAGTAAAAATTTCAGCTCGATATGTCAAATTGGACGGAACTTCTGGCCTATTTATAGTCCATTTTTAGCCTACAAGAGAATCCTTATAACTTCCCTACTACAAGAGATAGAGGGCTCAGGATGGTCTCAAATTAAAGCTAACTGCAATGCGTAATTTTTTATTGGATAGAATTTTGAAATTGGTTTCCATTCATTTTTTATGATTGTTTCAGTACACATGAGGTCGAAATAGCCCAAAGAAATGCTACTACATGATGTTTAATCTTGCTTTTTTTTATTACAGAAACCAAATATAAAAAATCTGGTCAGATAACATTTTATTCTCGCTTAGACCTTTAAAACAAAAAAAAATATTGGTATTATCTTGAATCATGCCGGAGTTATTTCCATTTCTCTGATCAAAAAACATGTTTTTGAGAAAAACAGTAAATAAGCTTAGAAATTGATTTTGTCATCTAAACCCAAAAATAATGGGATATTGATAGTATTTATGGGGAATTTTTGAAAGCACACAATAGATAACATAACCTAGCTCCCCCCCCCCCCCCCCCCCGGTCTGTACTATGTCATATAAAAATGTCTATTCCATTCTGATAGAAGTAGCAAAATAGTGTTCTCAAAAATATCCAAAACAGCCAAAATCTCTTCAAAAACCGAGTAATGAGTTGGAAATCTCCTGCGGAGGTCTGTTAAAATCTGATCTTTTTTTTAAAGCCTATATATACTCTGAAAGAGAAAACTTCGCTGCATCTTCCTATGATAAAAACTCAATTTCCATCACATTACAAAAAAATGGAATTTGTGAAGGGGCGAGCCCCCGCAAGATCGACTTAATTCCTCAACGATAGTCCATGAGGAAGAAAGCTTCATGTCATCGAGCTTTACAAATTGGCATAAAATCAATTTAAAACAGAGGCTGACACTTGCAGATATTCTCTCGTAAGTTTGATATTTGCTCAGAATTCTTCTACTTATCTTTGAAACTTGAATCAGAGTCAACTAAACGTCTCATTAATAAGATCAGATTTCACACAAACGATTTTTGAATTATAAATTTTATTTTTTTTTGGAATTCAATCTTGAAACTGATATGCTTTCGAAATTTTAATTGATGGCTCTTTTACACCTATGCCAATAAGAAGTCTGAGTAAACATTGACTCTGACATATTTCTTAAGACAATGTGACGATACTCTAATAATAATCAAGACATAATTGGTAGCTATTTGGAGAGTATGAGCTTCCGTATTAGTTTGAAACCAACCCGACGACTTATACTTGGAATAAAGATGGAAATAATATTTTTTTCTTAATAAAAGTTAACAATAAATTTCAAGCAAAAGAACAAAGTACATTAATCATGCATAAATTTCAATCCTTGAACGAATGTTGCAAGTTCTTTTTTTTTCAGCCCAGGAAACCTTTCTTGTTTTTTTTTTGTTTTTTATTTGAAAAACTAACAAATAAAAGACCTCAAATATTCGATCAGATTCGTTTCATCAAGAGTTACAAAAGTTCACATTTCATCTTAACTAAATATAAATGAAGGGTTAAATTATTTTTCAAAATTGAGTTTATAATATGTTAAGAAGTTGAAGCTAACATAAAGTTGATCTCATCAACATAGTTTAGAAGTTATTCATGTTACGAGTTTTCTCTCAACATATGAATTTTTAACTTTTTTTAAAGAAATTATAATTTTAGAATTTCTTTTATGCTTATCGAAGGTTATGTAATGTTGTTTAGATAAGTAAAAATAGTTCATTGATGAAAATTTAACTATTGAAATTTATACAAATGATTTCTATAAGATTAAATATTATTAAATCAAGAACCTATTCATTTTCTTGACTTAGAATTTAAACCTATTGATGAGAAAATAATGAAAAAAATTTCATTCATACTTCAAGGAATTTTTTCAACATATTTTGATAAAACAATGTTATAAGAAAAACAAAATTAAGATGATCGAATTTCAATCATTAGTTTTTGTTTCTCTTTTTTTTTCTTTACATTCGATTCTCAACACTTCATGTTCTTTTATTATCGACATACAACTCCTGTTGTTCTTTTCTTATTATTATTCTATGAATAAATTAATAAATGAAATTTCTTTTTTCTTTTTTCACGTGAATATAAACATTGTCATATATGTTTTATCAAAGCATAAATACAATTTGCACATAGAGTCTATCGTATAGATATCATCGAAAAAAAAATGGTATGATAGTCTTATAGAATAATTCATATATGAATTATATTTATTTCAAAATAGAATATTATACAATCAAATAATAGTTGGAATATTCCTGTTCAGAATTCATTAACAAATTTCAATATATTACGAGAAAATAATCCATTACAAATTATTGCTGATACAAGATTTCATACGATTATAGTACGAGCTACAAAACAAAATAGTATAGCACCATTTTCACCTACACAAATGATACGTTCTGAACGTAGTTCATGGTCATCTGCTTCAATTGTTAGTAGTATTGATTTAAAATCACCTGAACCAATATTACATACTGAAGTTTATCAAAAGTAATTTATATTTGATTTCTTTTCTTTTTATTTAAATATCAATATATACAATTCAGATTAGAAACAATGAATAAAACATCAAAAAATCGAAAATTAGTAATTATTTTGATTATTTTGCTTACACTATTAATTTTAATTATTATTGTTATTGTATTAACATTAACATTAATTAAAAGTAAATGTTTATATTTAAATAGAAAATTCTTTTTTTTTTTTTCATTAATCTTTATTTATTTATAGATTCATCAACGGAAACTACAATAATTACAAGTCCAACGACAACGAAAATTTAAATATTTGAATTACAAACGAAATGAAAGTTTTATTTTTCGTAAATGATATATGTTTTAAAATTTTATTTATTTATTAACAAATTAATAAAACAAAAATAAACAGTATTAGATATTCATATCGCACCTACATTCGTAGTACTATCGGTATACTATGGTACTCTCAAAAAAATGATGGTAGCTCTTACCATTTACAGCTCCAACTATAAACGATTATAGAGATTGTTTTCTATCCAGATTTATCGAGAAAAAAAACAAGTTTCAGAATATATTTTACCAAAAACTACTTTTTCAGTACCATCTATCATGAAAAATTATCTCATAATTCGAGCCGATATGTGCTCTGTGGCTACTACGTGCGGTTCAAACGCATCAATACGATCAGCGTGCGTCAAAGATCGATTCAATTCTGTCATTTTCAACAGGCTTCAAAAATATTTATCCATTTTGATACAATACACTATGATAGAATATTTTCAAAAAAACTGAGAGTTTTTGTCGGATTCGAATCACATGGGTAATGCTTAGGTATTCCCAACTTAAAATGAGCGGTGATCCGAGATAGCTGACATTGAATGAGGAAGAGATGACGACACAGTGTCTCGTCACTTGTATCGACACTTCTTTTTGGTTTAATTTTTTATAGGATGTGGGTGTGTTAGTCAATGTACTCTTCATGCCATTCACACTCACACCCTACTTTTTCTATTTCATTAAAAAACATGTATCGTTATTATTGTCAATATAGCAATTATACTGTTATTAACCTGGTTTCGTTGTTGTTTTTGTCATTCGAAAGTATACAATTTGTCTGTTAGTAATATTCCTACATAAATTCTATCTACTACTAATTATGATTCTGATAATTCATCGTCATCATCAATTATATACACAATTTTTTCCTATTTCTATTGCAGAATCTTCGTTCAATCCAAAAGTAATGACTGATGATTATACATCTTATTAGAATTCTCAAGTTTGTTTTCTTGAAGAAAAGATAATTATCAAAATGTTACTTTATATTATCAACAAAATGACATTATTTATTTACATATCAAATTATTCGTGATCTTTCTCATCAATATGTCAACAATAATTATATTCACAATGGTCTGATTGATAGTGTTATTGCTATTTTATGCATTTTATTTTAATTGGCAATATTTTAATGAAAGCCATTAAGACTTTTATTTAATATTCAAGGTATTGCATTTATTCGAATGAAAGTAGCATCTTCTTTTTTCATTTGATGCTGGGCAAATATCCATCAGTGGTATGTATCGACCTATTATCGTGATTAAACTCTTTATCCATATCGAAAATCAACGTTATTTCATTCAAGTTGCTAATTGTTTATCTCAAAGCTTCAAGTTATTTATTCTTGTCAACATTTAGATTTTGTTGAACTACATTGATAATGTTATTTGCGTGCTACCTATCATGTTATTATTAACAACATCATTATTATCAATAGTGTCCTTGAATATTAGTAACTCGTCTCATCAAGATAATTGTTCTATTGAATTCGAGACATTGTCTGATGACAACTGCTATTTGTATTATAATTTTACTTGCCCAGTAACGAAAAATTCCATTTTATAATATTTTCTTTTTATTCAAACATTACATCAAATACGCTATTGATGATACATCAACAACTAATTCATCTGACTATTAAACCAACTAAAATCTTACTGATACGTTTATTAAAATACACTAGACTGAATAGGGTGTGAGTGTGACTATAAGGAACATCAGCTCTCACATTCGCATCCAAGGTCAAAACATTACTTTGCATCATACTATTGTTGTAAACATAATAAAAGATCGAAAAAAAAATTATACATCATTGATTGTTTTTTTTTCATTCTAATATGTTTACAGAATTTTTTCTTATCTTTAGATCATGCTCACGGTGTTTTTCTGCTTTTAGTGACTAATGTTTGTTCGGCAAGAATAAAATAAATAAATAACTTTTCTACTTTCAGTTTCAAACGATTCTCTATTCGTATGTCGGCAAAATCAAATACACCACGTATGTTTTGCTCTAAGCAACAACGTAAGAGACCAGTCGAGGAATTTGTTCTTGTCTGGTTTGAAAATGAAGACGACAGCAACTCTGTAATTACTCAACTGCATCATTATGTATATGATATTCGAATATTCATAGATCCTAATGGATGCATTAATTTTATCTCAGAATTTACTACTGATCAAAAACGTATTCTTCTTGTGAATGTAAACAGTGTTATGAACTATGACATAGTCATATACACTGCTGAGCCATTTGCTCAAGTATCGATCATTTACATTTTATGCAAAGAAAACTCAATACGAAATGAACTCAAACAATTCTATGATCATCAGACAAAAATTCAATATATGCTTATGGATATGAAGTTCTTGAAAGATCATCTTAGTCATTTTGTGACGAATCATATAAATAATCAATGGATCAATTTTGAAATGATGAATATGACGTCAATCAACACAACAACGTCTGACACTTCACTAAACAAGTAAGATACATCTTTTATATATGCTCAATTATTTAAAGAATTTTTATTAGAATTCGAATTGACATCTACATCCAAAATAGAAATGATTGATTTTTGTCGTGAGCTTTACGATGATAATTTATCTAAGGTGGTATTTATCAATGAACTTGAATGTAATCCTGAAAATCGATCATCTATATATTTCTATACTGTTGAACATTTTCTCTATCGAATACTTAATAGAACTTTACGATTACAAGAAATAGATAAACTCTATCATTTACGTTATTATGTTAGACACAACTATACGAAGAACTCAAACGATTTCATAATCAAAACTGTCAATCAAAGAAATCAGTTTCATTTCTCTATCGTGGACAAGGAATACAAAGAGAAGAATTTGAAAAATTACAACATAGTGTAGGTGGCTTATTGTCATTCAATGCATTTCTATCAACTAGTACCGACTATGCTGTTACTCATCTGTATGCAGAGACAATTCTTTCGGCTACAGATACATTAGCAGTGTTTATGAAGATAGATGTAAAAGTTGAAAATTTAGGAAATAACATTTTCTCTGATATTGGCCATTTGGCTCATTTTACTGGCGAAACAAAATATCTTTTCTCGATGGGTACTATTTTTCGTATTACATCCGTTGAACAAGAATCAAATAGAATCTATTATGTTAAACTTATGTTAACAAATGATCATGATGAACAACTTACTTATTTAAAATGATTTATGGATACAAATCTTTATTTAACACATTATCGTAGTTCACTTTTTCTACTTGCTATTCTAATGAATGAAATGAGTCAATATTTATATGCTGAATATTTTTTCTCATTGTTACTAAAAGATGAAAATATCAAACATCAACCATGTGTGCTCGCTAACATTCATGGTAATATAGATTATATGTGTAGACAAAAAGGAGATTTACAAAATGCTTTTCATCATTGTGAATTTGTATTAAAACTTTATAAAGAAAATTCATCAAATGATAATCATCAGACAATTGCAACGTTTCTGGCGAATTTAGGAGAAATCTATATATTAAAAGGTGAATTCAATCGAGCTCTCATCAATTATGAACGTGCTTTAACTATTGATATAAATCCTACTAATAGCAAAAAACCTAATTCCGAATATATTTTCAATTGTTGTAATCAATTAGACATTATCTGTGAACGTACAGGACGTTATGTAAAAGTACTTGACTACTATGAAAAATGTTTACAAATACGTCTTGAAAATATGCCACGAAATCATCCTGATTTATTAATACCATATGATAATATTGCATTTCTTTATGATAGACTTAGTCAATCGGAAAAAGCAATGGATATCTATATGCGTATTCTGAAGATTAGCATCAGTTCATTCTCACAAGATCATCTGAAAGTTGCTACTCTATATCATAATATAACTTGTAATCTTGAAGATCTTGGTCGATTTAATGAGGCACTTGTCTATGAATAGAAAGCTTTCGATATAGTCAAAAAATGATCGTTATCGCCAACACATGAGATCTTTGTAGGAAATAGCGAACATTTAGAACATCTTCAATGTATTGTTATAAATTTTCATATGAATAAATAATCATCGATTAAGTTCATTACACTAAACTCGGAAATCGAGATTCAATTGAAAAAACTGTATGAGGTTAGAAGAAATTGATCGAGTATAGTTAACAAGTTTTTGTAGAATATAAAACTTTCATCTATTCGAATTAAGAATATTGATTCAATAATAAACAAAATAGAAACCACAGTTTGGGTGTGGGATTAGATACGTGAACATTTTACTAACTTTTGATATTCATACAATGAACAGTATTGTAGATATACATTATATTTATAAAACTATTTATACGATTGACATGCATAGTGTCATATTAATCTATGATTTTATTCATGATTCAAATGAATTTGCACTTAATAATCCGTGGCATGTCAGAATATTTCTATTCTGACAAGTTGTCACTTCATAAATAGATTAAGTAAAACAAATGTTTTTATTCTATTTCAATCAAAATAACAAATTTCATCCTGAAATTTGAAGCAACAAGACAAGATATCTAATTTATTATAAAATATAAATTTCAGAATTCTACACTATACGTATGGTAAAATTTTCAGCAAGATAGAGTTTCGAAAAATTGCTTATCATGTCCTAGAACGATCTGCTATCATCTTAAATATCTTCAATTAGAATTTTTATCATTTATAATTGATATTTAAACTTTTCGTTCGCTTACAAGAAGTTTTTTTTTTTTTTCATTCTAATATTCTTACTTATTTCCACTTCTAACAACGAATAAACTATACTATTTAGAAAATTTAAGCATGTTCAGGAAAAACTTTTCATAGAGATTTTTCTAGCCTAGAGAGTACTCTACAAAATGTAAATGATGGTGAGCATAATAAAAATCTTTGTCTTTTTCTTTTTGTGTCACATTGCTAACGCTAATTAATCAATAATAATCTGCCGGAACAAGTGTCTATGCAGTTAAATTCTTCAAAATACATGTGTTATGACCAATCATATCTTCAAACATGATTCACATCTATTATGTTATGAAATAATAATTAAATAAAACCAAAAAAAAAAAAAATCAATGTCTAGTCACATTAAAATTACTATTAAAATCAATTACAGTTATAAATCTTTACATTTCAGATGCAAGAATACGATATTCAAAGTCAAGTATTTTTCAATTACTAAAATTAGACACATCATAATTATTAATTCAGGAATGAATAAGACATTTACTAACATTCTTCGAAGATTAAAGTTTTTCATGAATGAAAATCTACTAACACTTAATGATATTATGAAAACATAAAAATTCAATGTTCTCTTGCCAAATATAACTAACCATAATTGAAATCATGTAGCTAGGCGTATTTTGTCAATCATTATGGATTCTTTTTTTGTTCTGTATAGATGTCACTATATATTTGTAAATATTTTTCTCTTTGCATAAATGCTTGAAGAAATAGTTCATTTTATGTTTTTCGTCTAATCGAAGGACATCGACCGGAGACATGGCTAAAATCATCAATTGAAATTTTGTGTATGTTTTCTAATATAGATTTTTTCATGGTCATTGGATTTAAAAAAAAAAATAATATATTTTTTTATTTAGATCCTTTCTCTCTTCTGTGGTTTTTGTTTTTTTTTTGTTTCCATTTTCCATCGTACGAAGTCAATAAAATCTTATATCTTCAACGATGGAACAAAATCCACCAGGAACTGGCTCATCAATACATCTTTCAACTAAAAATGAATTTTTAATTGGTGGAAAATATCGTTTAGTACGTAAAATAGGTTCAGGTTCATTTGGTGATATTTATTTGGGTATAAATATAACAAATGGTGAAGAAGTTGCTATTAAACTTGAGTCAGTTAAAGCTCGTCATCCTCAATTATTATATGAATCAAAATTATATAAAATATTACAAGGTGGTATTGGTATACCACATATACGTTATTATGCTCAAGAAAAAGATTATAATGTACTTGTTATGGATTTACTTGGACCATCACTTGAGGATCTCTTTAATTTTTGTTCACGACGATTTACTATGAAAACTGTTCTTATGCTTGCCGATCAAGTATATATTTAAAATTTGATAAATTTTTATTTAAATAAATAAAATACAAAAAAAAAACGTTTTTTTTTTTTTTTTTTTTTTTACTTTAGATGATTGGTCGTATTGAATTTGTGCATAACAAAAATTTTATTCATCGAGAGTAAAATTATAATTTTCAATTTTTTTTTTTTTCATCTTTTTTGTTTTGTTTTGTTTAGTATTAAACCGGATAATTTTCTAATGGGCATTGGTCGTCATTGTAATAAAGTTTGTTGATGAAAAAATTTTCATTGTTTTGTTTTAATACGAAATTCTTTTGTTCTTATTAAGGTATTTTTGATTGATTTTGGATTAGCAAAAAAATATCGTGACAATCGAACTCGACAACACATTCCTTATCGAGAAGATAAAAATTTAACAGGCACAGCTCGTTATGCATCAATTAATGCTCATCTTGGTATTGAACAAAGGTTAGATAAATGAAAATAAAAATTCAATTGTTTTTTTTTTTTTTTTGAAATATTTTGTCATATCTAGTCGTCGTGATGATATGGAATCATTAGGTTATGTTTTAATGTATTTTAATCGTGGTTCATTACCATGGCAAGGTCTTAAAGCAGCAACAAAAAAACAAAAATATGAAAAAATATCTGAAAAAAAAATGTCTACACCTGTTGAAATACTTTGCAAAGTATAAACATTTTTTGTTTGACGAAAAAATGAAAAATTTGTGTTTTTCATAGGGTTTTCCAGCTGAATTTGCTATGTATTTAAATTATTGTCGTGGTCTTCGTTTTGAAGAAGCACCTGATTATATGTATTTACGTCAATTATTTCGCATTTTGTTTCGTACATTAAATCATCAATATGATTATACATTTGATTGGACTATGCTCAAACAAAAGGCAGCTAATGCAGCATCATCATCGACGGCAGCAACCGCTACAGCTGGTTTAACTACAGCTACAACTGCTGGTACGACGATGGCACCACAACAAATATCAACTACACAAATGACTACGACAAATATGATGAATACAGGCAATAATGGAGCAACGCCAGGTAAACGAGGAGGAAAAGCAGATGATGGTACTGATCCTGACGAATATGCAGCAGCAGCCACACATTCATCAAATGAACATGAATGATAAGAAAAAGTAGAGAGATACAGCCATACAATATCATTCTTAACTAACTGCCAAGACTCCGCTTTGTGCTTTTTTTTTCATTATTGCTTTTTTGTCTGTTGGTGATGGATATTAAATCATTTATCTAATTTTTATTTTATATACTTTTATTCGTATTTTATTTTGGCGTTTTTTTTTTCTTTTTTGTTTTAGACTTGCCGAAAATGAATAACAATGATTAAACGTGTAGAATAAATCACACATACATGCACAACAGCCAAAAGCAGCTGCACGTCGTGTCGTTTATCTTTCTTCTCTATCTTTCTCTCATTATCTGTACTCATTCTTGCTCTTTTTTTTTGTCTCTATCTTTCTATTTCTTTTTTTTTTTGTCTATCCTGATCGAAAGTGTAAATGCCGTCGGCCTCCTCTACTTTACTTTTTGTCTTCTATTTCTTTTTTTTTTTTTTTTTTCATTCATGATTATTATGATGAACATGATCGGCAGCAGTGAATTATTTCAGAGACAGCAGCTAGACGGATGCTATATATTATGAAAACAAAACAAATAACATCAATTCATATATAGAAGAATGTCATGTATTTTCATTGAATATCGAAAAAACATTTATTTACATTTGAAAACGAAAAAGAAAACTTATTCATGATGAAATCAACAAGAATTTACTGGTTTTCTTTTTTGTTTTGCATCATGACACTTTGGTGCATTTTAAAATTGGTAATATCATATTTTATACAAAAAGCAGAAAATGTACTTGATTTTTTGTTTTTATAGTACAAAAATAGAATGATTTGATTACGTTTTTGTCCATTCTCTAACGAACGAAAAGAAAATAATGAATTTTGACATTATAATATTTTCAATTAATATTCTATAAATATGAATGAATTTGAACTTTTTGATACGATTGATGTGAAAAAAACTGAAAATAGATTTCAACAATTTCTTAATCGTATATATTATTATAGTCTATGTTTATACCATACAGAAAAAGTTTTCTTATATTTTACTGGATATTAATTGATATAAGCTTGATTTCAGTGTAATATATAATGTACAAAATATTATTTAATTTGACAATTAATTACAGATAACATAAGCTTTATGTGATAAAATTAGTTTGTAGATTAAAATTGACATTTCTACGAAATATAGAGTAACTTTCTGAAATAGAATAATATGAACGATATATAACAGCTAGTAGTACTTGAAATATCATGTGAAATATATCGTTCTACAATCCTGTAGTAATCCACTCGAACACTATTTATTATTCACTTCAAACAACAACCATCGGCGTTGTTGTTTGAATAACTTTTGATAAGAACGACAAGAAGTTTTGAAGTTTTTACAAATCAAGACAGAACACTCATACTCTCATCACGTTGTGTCGAATGGTGATATTAGTTTATAAGTTTCAAAGCAATCCGAGATTACTATTTGTAAAATTTTGAAAACTTCAAAAATACTGAAATAGTGATCTTAGATTGCTTTGAAACTTAAAACAACGATCACCATTCAAATCAGCCTAATGAATTACTCATATCTGAAGTTGTTTTCAAGCTCTTAAAGGACAATTTACTGAAATTGAGGATTACAGGAAAACAATTGTAATTCTTGAATAGAAAAAGCTATGAAGGTAGAGGTTATGCAGATGGAGAGTGAAGATCTTTCTCTAGTGATTGGCTATGCTACACATCAAAACTTAGCGGGAAATGCTTTGCAAATCTTGTTTTCAAAAGCCACGTCCCAGCTCTTTGCATTGTTCCTATCAAAAGTTATTCAAAAAAAACCACTACGAACATTTTTTTCTGAAATGGTTAATAGTACAATTATTTTTATTTTAGAACTAATGTTCTAGAATAAAAACGGATTACGTTTTCGGAATTAAGCGAGTCCAAGAATATAAAATATGATCTATTTTCATGTGAACCCATCAGATAGAACAGATCCTTCTTTAATCTACGATAAATATTTCAGAAAAAATGGATGAATCCTTTAAAAGTTATTTGGCATAAAATTAGTAAAACATCCTTCAAGAAGATGTGACAAAACTTAGATTTATAAAAACAACATCGTTTGTCTTTCAACGACAAAAGAAAGTCGCTCAAGCGAAGTTTTCTTACTAAGTTATTTTAAGTTCAACAATCTTTCTTTTTTCATTATCTTTGCATTTCTTTCATTGCTAGTCATAGAAAGATAATTAAAAACTAATATATTTCTATACGAAGAAGAACCAGTATTTCCAATTAAGTATTTAGAGTATATGCGCATAGAAAGAGAGAAACAAGAAAGATTTGTTATTCGACAGTTCATTCCAGATTGTACAAAATGAACTATTCATGATATATATATTCATATATCATTATAAAGAAAGAAAATTCAATCAAAGTTTATCGTTTTTATTTTTGCGAATTGACAATTCATATTCAAATGAGTTCAATAAGTATTTTACATGAACACAAGATGAGACTAAAAATAGTTAGTTTCTTTTTATTTCGATATTAAATAAAATGCGTCATATGACAACTCTTATGTATCTTTATAATGACTATCAGTTACTATCTCATTTCAATACAAATGGTTGTTAATGTTTATTTTCTGAAAGATGGCAAGAATCATTTATATATGAAATGGTGACATGATTTCAGGATATAGATCAAGATATTTCAACAAACTAAAAAAAGGCTGTTAGCACAATCTCTGCGAGATTTTATAAAAGAAAACGTCATGTTGCATTTCAGATTATACATGTTCAGAGTTATGTTTTTTGAATACAAAATAAAAGATATTTGTCATTTTCAAATTTCTAATACATTGAAAACAAGTTGATAGATAGATTTAAGTAACACATCTTCTTCATCTGAAGTTTATCAGAAATCAGAAAAACTCCAATGTCTACTGCAGCTGAAAAGAAAACATATCAATCAAAAACAAATCATCAGCAGTAGCTTCACCATGATAAAAATATATTTCCAAATATTTATTCATTCTAATAACAGTAGAATAATGCGATTAAATGAATTTCAAATTCGTGTGTTATTCTTCTTTTTCTTCTACAATAATCAATCAATGGGGTACTTAATCATCGATATTATCTACTCTAGCACATCATGAATTCAAAATTAATTCAAAAACATGTTCACAATACGGAATAATTATGTCTACAATAGGTTTGCAAAAATCTTCATCCTTTTTCGACATTAGGTTAGAGTCATATTTTCTCAAGACAAAGAACTTTTTCAATCGATTGAAACATTAATTAGAAGCTATGAAAGATAATTATTGTTTGATATATATTCATGTTGAATGATTATTTTAATGAAATACATGACTTTACTCAATCATTTATTAAATATTTCAATTTCAATTCAATAGATTTTATGACAAGCATGTTATTATTTAGACTCCTGTTGGAAGACTTGTAACATGACTCAGAACCCAATCACGAAATCCAGAAAGACGAGTATAAACACCACCACCACCACATCCAATACCCTATTTTTAACGAATGAATATTATTATTTAGTTATAAATGGAAAAAAAACACTTACCCATGATGTCAAACCAGCCAAATACCAGAGATTATCCTCTGCATGCTTAACAACTAATGGACCACCTGAATCACCTTGACATGTATCTTTATTACCACCGTCACCAGCACAGATTTGAGTTGCTGGAACTATGGTGTATCCATTATGTTTCGATATACATCTAGCATCAGTCAAAACTGGCATTGCAACTTCCATGTGAACAGTAGCAAGGCTTCCACCAGAAGATAGTGTACCCCATCCGCCAGCAACCGACGTTTTGCCAGCATAATCATAACCTTTAGGAGGAAAACAGATTGGCATTACGTAATCGTCAAAATCTATATCTGTATCCTAAAAAATTTTCTTCCTTTTTCAACATATCATTAATAAGAAAAAAAAGAAACTACTAACACTAATTCTGAATAGAGCAATATCATTAACAATTGTTGCTGAATTATACTGTGGATGTACAATATATTGTTTTGATACATATTCTCTAGTCCATTCATCCTATAAATTCATGTTTATTAATAATATAATTATCTATCATTTTCTTACATGCTTGTTTCGTTCATGTAGACCACAATGCCATTTGTATGAACTTGCAAGACTATTACGGGTTCTGTAATATTTTCAATTAAAATAAATAATGATTAGAATTTATTCATCATGTTTTGTACTTACACACAATGTGCTGCAGTTGCGATCCATTTACTATTAATAAGTGAGCCACCACAAATGTGACTGGTTGGATAACGCATAGAGCACTATTAATATTAATAAATTATGAATATATAAGAAAACTGAAAAGACAATGAACACTTACCGACCATGGCCAATCACCACGTACGGATGCTGAACCACCAACGATTTTATCATCATCGCTACGAGCTACTAATGGACGTTGACCACAATGATTCTTAGTCCAAGTTTGAGAACTTGCAAGACCTATTTTTTTTTGTTATTTAGGAATGGATTTAATAAAAAAAAATATTTCTGCATGAAATAATAAACTTACCAACGAAAATACAGAGGAGTGCTGTAACAAGCATTGTTGTCTTATTTCTCGATGCTACTGAAGATACTAGCATGGATGACAGGCTATTTATTCTTCGCAAAATTTCTTTTTTTTTTTTTTTTAAATCGTATAATCAATATCATGAGAGGGATGCGTGAGTGTGAGAATAAGATCAGATTGTTATTGTTTTTTTTCTGTGTATGTTTTTTTTAACAGAATATTCTCATGATGATATTGCGTTTTAAAATAAATCTTTATCGTTATTATGATGATTACTAATATCAAGGACGAATTTTTTTTTTTTTTTTTTTTTTAGATGACGAAGTTCGTCTGGAATAATGTAGATATTATGGAGAAAAATCATTTTTGCTTTTACTTACCTTCATAAAGATTGTATATTTTTATGTCATGATTGCAATGCATTTTTATTCCAAAGACACTTCGAAACAGCAAAGTCCTTCAACTGATCAACTGTTTTCAAGTCACGAGTACGTGTATTAGATGGACTCAAAAGATCTATGAATATGCTGAAAAGAGTTCACACCTTTCGCTTGTTGCTGTGAAGATACTGCAGTTTTACACAGTAGTTTCTAAATGAATTTCGTCTTAATGGAAAAAACTAATTTTCAAATTTTATTTCAAAGTTTATATAGAAATAGGTCTTAATAAGAACAGTTTACTGAAAGTATTTCAGATGTTGTCGCTGTATGTATCTTAAAATACAATGATAGTAATAGCGTAGCTCTCATATCAACCAGCAGATTTCATATTCTTATTTTAGGATAGAAACAAATCAAAAGACTTGAAATATTCACAAAATAATTTTTTCTTATTGAGGCTTATTTGTATGCAAACTTTCAAGTCAAACTTCGAAAATCGATTTTTCGGGTGTTTCTGCATTCATTAAACGTTTTTCTAAAAGTGCCATATCTTCGCCACAATAAACTAACAGTACACGGTTTCAACTTGAAAACGATTTATTAATTAGAAGACTTTTTTCTTAACCGAATGATCATTTGTTTAATAGATTAACATTTAAAAGAAATTATATGGAATGATACTTTCATTAGATTTTGTTAAGTATATTTAATATCACTGTTTGAATATATGTAAGCATTGTATCGTAAAATAAATCATTCTTTGAAGTTTTTTTCAGATAGTAGATTACAACAATTAATTTTTTTTTATATCAAATTATATATATTATGATTTTCTTCCATGAAACATTTAATAATATTTATTAAAAAAAAAGTTTGTTTTAAATAAACTACTGAATAAATCAATCATCACTTTTCTTTAACTAATTAAAATTATACATCCAAATGACAAACAAATAATAATTGGTTGATTATTTTGATTTTTCTTTTATATAGTAAACTTCTTATTTCAATAGATAGACATGATTATATGAAATTATTTAATCAGAAAATCTACCTTTTTCTAAATTGGTTAGTAATGATCGAAAAAATCGATCGATTAATTTTAATTTGATAATATAAAAAAAAAAATTTCGCTCAGTTACATTCGAGTAATAATAAAAACATAATACTCGTTGGTTGGCTCAGATGTCTGAACTCAAATTCTTATGTCATTTCAATCGTGTATTTAATAAAAATAGTATTTTTCTTATAACTTAATATTATTCAATCAATAATAATGATCAATTTATTGTTTCAGGTGTATTTATGTACTGAAAACGAGAAAATTTTAACTAACTATAAATTAATCGAGAGTTACAGATAATGTAGAATGTTTATTTCATTTATGATTTTATGAGTCAAATCTTTTGTTAGTGACATGACTTTGCAAACGATAGGCTAAAAAAATTATGGGTAGGAATCTTTGTTCAGATGAGTTGTCAGTAAAAAAACTAGCGTTAATTGACATCAATTTTTACTGTACATATTTTAAGTAGTTTAAAAAGACTCTGAATTCGGGCAATATTTTTCAAACTAAAGAGTACATTCTGTAGACATCTCCTGAGACTACAAAGTTTATATCCAAAACTTTTTTCTGAGCATGCCTAGGTTTTTGAAAAAACATCGATTAACTTTTGGTTAGTAACATGATGGAGTACGTATATGCAAACGAAAAATATTCTTGTAAAAGAATGAGAAGTTCAAAACCAAGGCGTGACAGTAATAATCCTTCTTTAGCACCTCCAGATGATGGTAAGAGAGAAGTTTTTGTTGCGGCATTTGATAGGATTGTTAGAAACCGATTCTCAGACGAAGTTTCTTCGAGTCCTGTTTTGCTGAAAAGTTGCCCATAGTAGTGATTTGTGCATTAGAGTCTATTCTGAAGTTGTGGGGATATTTTTCCTCAAGTTAGAAAGATACTGGTTAATTAATTTTCTTTTTTCTTTTTAACAGTCAGTTGAAAGAGCCAAAATTTTTATATATGTCTATGGTAAAAGTACTTAATCAGAAAAGTAAGTCTGGTAACCAATCAAAGTTAGATGAAGAGTGAATATTTTTCATTTGAGTATGTAGCTGAGACAATACAAAAAAATATATTCAAATTAACTAAACACTTCTACATGTTAAAAAACAAAAAGAAAAAAAGCATTTTTCTATTTAAGAAAATAATGATAAACTCTGTTTGCATCCATTTATTGAATTGATATACTTTTCGTATATACTAATACAATTATCAACAAATTAAACATGTGTTAATCTAAAAACGAGACAATGGATTTTCATAATATTTTATAGAAATAGCTTTGGAATATGGATGCAAATAGTTTATAATAAGACTTCAATAGTCAATAAAATAGTTTTTAAATATATTTTATATAACAATAAAACTCTTTTAATGACAATGATTTTCACGTTGTATATATTTTTTAAGTTTCCTAATCATTTGTATTATCTTAGAGAATTCTACAGAAACAAACAACTCTTAAGATATAAGACAACTTGATAGTCAACGAACTTTATGTATTCTCTTTAGCTTCTAATTCATACATGTGTTCAAATACAACCATATATATCGATAAATCTATGCTATTGGAAGTTTAAATAAAATAAAACTTTTTTTTTTGTAATATCATAACATCAGACATCAATAGTAATAAATCAAAAATTTGTTCTAAAAAACAATTAAAACTAAAAGTATGTTGAATAACACCTTTAAAAGACTGTAATCGAAACAGTTGGAGATTGATTCATAGCTATGGTTGTTTGTCGAATGCTGTGAAAATTGAAGAATGTATGTAAATCCTTCTCGTCCCACCTTGGGACAATCGCACAGCCGTCGCTATTTTTGTGTATATTTTTAGATTTCATAGAAGAAAAGAATAAACTTTGAATGTAGTTTGATTTTTCAAGGCTGATACAGTCGGGTACACAAGAAGAATATTTCTACCGACTCGTCTTACTTTGTTTTTTTCCATTTCTCAAACAAAATGACGTAGTACCTGTATTAAATATTTATACCAAAACGTTCTATACTAACAAACTTGTTTTGCTCTTGATCAAAGAAGACTTACTTCTATTTAAGTTTTTTTTTTCATGTCTTATTCTTTTAATGCTTGTTATTCTTCAAGGCTGATATAAGAATGTTTAAGTTTTTACTATTTAACAGTATTTCAGATTTGTTTCTATGTTAATGATCATACATGTGATACCAACAAAAAAAGATATAATCAATATAGTAGAGTATATAAACAAACACATCCCAATGTTATCAATATCAACCAATCATTCATTAAGCTTATCTATTAAATTCGTTGACATTTATACGGTGCTTTTGTATTATATAAGATTAAAAAACAGAGGTCTCAACAGACATGACAACATCGAATCAGCTCGATCGCGTTCAAAGTTTTCTATTCAAAAAGTTTCAGTCATATTCTAGGTCATTGGTTTTGACTTTCCAATCCGACTGCATTCGCCGACTTTTCAGCATGTTTTCTGCAATATTCAGTCAGAATAAACGAAGAACTTGGAAGCAGTATTCCACATCGGAAAGCCATCGTATCGAAAATGCTGATATTTATAGGTTATTCCGAAACAGAAAATCGGTCAGTACCAGCCCGAATCGCATCGGAAAGTACAGGAAGCCGTGAGACACTCACCGGAACAATAAAAGGATCCTGCCAGAAACAATACGGAACTCATTTTTCCAACTGCAATCTATTGTTTACTTATTCAACTTCAGCAAGAACCGGTTGTACCTGAAGAGTTTCCGGTGCGTTTCTTGCTGGATCTGTTTAGTTTCTTGCAGAGACTGGCTAGAGAAAGCTATAAACTTGGAAGAAATATTCCGGACTGCAAAGCTACTGTACCCAACAAAATAGTTTGACTTCAATACACCGACATTGCAAACAGAAAGAAATTCGTCAGATTCTTACCGGAAGGTCTTTGGGGATCGTAGAAAACTCAGCTGAACAACAGAAACATCCACTCGGAAACGCCATGGAATAACTGACATCTAACTGAATGATTCGGCATAGAGTGAGTCTAAGCATCCACTATATTCTGACATCGTAATACCCACTTTAGAATAAGCAGCTACGCCACACAAAACAGTTCGTACAAATCATTTAACTATTATCATTGAAGCGTCACAAAAACAGAGCAAACTCCACGATTTTCTTGACACCTGCCTAGTCTATCAATACATTGAACTCGATATAATAATCATAAAAACGATTATTTATGACCATCTTCCATGGTAGTCTCGTTACTTACTTCGGAATATGTTCACTCTCGGATTAGAAGATGCAAGAAGATGATTTACAACGCGTAGAGAAGACAAGAGTGAGAGAGGAAACTAAACAATCTGGGCTGTGAGAACGACTGGATAGATCCAGTTATCCTTGGTCACTATAAATGAAAGTATGTTTAGGCTGAATACGTGCCGGAAACAACCGAAAGCAAGCCAAAACCTGTCACAAAAACCTATTTCGGATCTAGTCGTTGAACATGAAGGGAAACAAGATGAATCTGACCGTTTCGTGATGTATTTGCTTCACCTGAATTTCAGTTGAATGCAAATATATATATTGAAGAGATATTTCTTTCTCTTCAT